TGTTTGCTCGGATTTTGTCCTGTTAGCATCTTATGCATTACGTTAGCTGCAATGCGTCGATCTCCCTGATCGTAGATCATCGTTCTCATCTTCTTCAAACTTTCTGCGTCATATATGCCGCTCTCCATTAGATTTGGTAATGGAGTATAATTCCATTTGGTTACGATATCCGTAGTTAACTTTTGTGGGGGTATTGTTTCCCTAATTTTTCCGTCGAAGGTATACCACCTTCCTCCAAATTGGAATTTGGCCGGTAACAATGGTGTACATTCAATCTCAGTACCTCTTAACTGCAAAGTTCTAGTGACCGGCGTTAAGAACATTGTTACGTTCCCGTATTTTACAGGTAATTCTTGATGGCATCTTTCTGATGCGAATGGTTGTACATACACGGGTTTACATTCTAAAACGTGTAGTACTTCTCCGGCAACTACCGCGGAGAATCCGGATCTTTTCATTATGCTATTCACGAACTCGGTAGGATTTATCCTAGCCAAAGTTAGTTTTGTTTCCAATAAAGCTTTATCAAGCTTGCACATTTCGGTCATGACCGTGTTGTAGACATCATCTAATCGTTGTCCAACATAATTTTCGACAAGAGTTATTTTTGAATTAAAATATGTGAATATATCGTGGTTTTTTGCGCCCGATGGCTTTCTAGCGAACGGCGACTTGTACTCTGTCGTTTCGATTATAAATATTCTGGGATGATCCGTGTTATAGCCATTGTATCCGCATATTTTGGCCACATCTTTCGTCCGTATCGAAAATAAATGTGAATCGGATATGGACGTATATACCGCCTTCTGTTTGTCCTGTTGAGCGTCCAAGTTTATGGTCTTATTTACCTTCCCTTCGTAGATAACTTCGAACTCGGTGTCTTCACATCGTTGATTTAGGCTTACGTCCCATGTTGAATAGCCATCCTCGGAGTCTAAACATTTTCCATGCGAGTATGGGCATACTAAGCCATGACGCAGTAATATCTGGTCATTCTCGTTGTCAACGACTGCCATATAATTATATAAGGCAATTTCGTATTCAAAGTATACGAGCGCGTTGATCCATGTATATTCAGGGGTTTTATAAACTCCTCCGCTACAGGAGCTGGACCAGACACTTCCTATTACTAGTGTCTCCCCTCTTGTTGTTTGATTTCTTTTTAATTGGTGAAGACCTGCGTTCAACGTTAAGGGAATCGCTCCTGTCATATGTACTCTCCTGCATTCGTCAGGAGTAAAGTCTTTGACTATGTATGAATAGCCCCTCTCGTAGTCCGACGTGTGGGAGTGCATACCACAATGTCGGATCGATCTCTTTATTATCATTTTGCATTGATATACCATGGCGGTACTCTTTGCATTTCGTTGTAATACCTGTATTGGTACTTCTGTAACGGACAAGTTCTTAACGGACGGCATACATGATTTCACATCCAATAGTGAGTAGCTTGTCATGTTTACATCGGGATTCGCGCAATCATATGCGATTAGTCCCGATGGTTGCTGTCCAAATGCTGCTGCCATGAAGTACATAATCATTAAAATTGTCAAGTACCATGGCGCATGGATCTTAAGAGAGGTTGTTGATTTTTTCGCGGGTCGACTCATATTCATTTTATCGCGCAACTCTTTCACCTTTTCTATGTCGATCTTACGTCTTTTTCCCCATGAGTTTAAATTATCTTCAGCTCGTTGCGTTTCTCTCGACATTTTAGGTATTGTCATTATGGATGCTGGATGTTCCATGGCACCCTTTCTTTTTATGTTGTTGGTAATTGTTCTCTGGCCCGTATAAGCATGTTTTGCTTTCTCGGCCCTTATAAATTGTGTTGCTTGCCTCTTTCTTTGGTGGAATTCTCTAGCCGACGTTACTGGTTTTTCTATAATTTCATGATGAATATTTATGTAATGCGTCTCGATATCATCTTCCGGTACTGGCTTGGGTTCAACTTGATGAACATTTATATAATGCGTCTTGATTGCAGCCTCCGGTGCTGGTTTGGATTTAACGTCCAACACGGCTATTTTCGCCGCAGCTCTGGTATATATACCTTGAGCGGTTTTAATTTCAGCGGACCTTACTTGTCCATCCGGAGCTTCATTTATTTTTGTGACTCTTCCTTTTAGCCAGCTACCTTGAGGAGTTTCTTTGTCGGTTATAATAACCACATCGTCCACCTTTATTGGTTCCACCTTATTAGTCCACTTACTTCGTTTAAGTATCGTGGGTAAATATTCCTTGCGCCACCTATCCCAAAAATACTTTCCATAATGTTGTACACGTCTATAGTGTTTCTTGCTCAACGTGTTCGCTGTTGGGGAAAATGGTGGTACGTATTCACCAGCCCTTCCTATTAGGAAATGGAATGGCGTTAACGGTTCATCGTCAATACTTTCTACTGGGATGTAGGTTAATGGTCGCGAATTCAAAATAAATTCTGCCTGAATTAGAGCTGAACGTAATTCTTCAGCCGAAGCCTTGTGAGGGTATCTCGCCTTTGGCATTGCATAGAGGCATTTCTTTATTATTTGGATTAGACGTTCCCATGCTCCTCCGAAATGCGGTGCTACCGGAGGATTGAATGACCATTTGATATCCATTGCCGCGGCCTTTTCTGCTCCCATTGATCTGTTAATTTCATTTACGGCGGCCTTCATTTCTCGTTCCGCTCCGACGAAATTCGTACCGTTATCACTATAAAGGTACTTGACCTTGCCTCTTCTATGTTGAAAGTTTCGGAGGCATACTATGAAAGCGTCAGTATCTAAACGCTCTGCTAACTCAATGTAAACCGCTCTGGTGGTCATACATGTAAATATTACACCCCATCTTTTTTCAGTGGAACGTTTTACCTGCACCTCCAGCGGGCCGAAGTAGTCTACTCCGGTATGTGTGAACGGGTTTGCATATATGCTAAGTCGACATTTTGGGAGTACCGCCATTTGTGGCAATATGGGGCACGCCTTTCGAATTTTACACTTTTGACAAGCGGCCTTTACTTGATGCAACACTTGTCTGGATCTCATGATCCAGTACTTTTGATAAGCTGCCCCTAGGACAACATTATCTCCTTGATGCAGGTACTTCTCATGATACATTTTCATGATAAGCCTGGTAATGTGATGTTTATATGGCAGAATTATAGGTTGCCTAGCCGATAATGGTATTATATTTGTATTTTGCAAACGGCTGCGTGATATCATTACACCGTACTCGTTTAATGCTGGGACCAGCGGACTTACGTCACACTGTTTAGTTAGATCTCCGTTTTTCGACAGATCTTCCATTGCTTGTGTAAGGCCTTCCCATTGAGCCTTACGAATAATTGCTTGTTCCGCAATCTTTTTATCCTCGTAGGTAATATTTTTGTTGAATTCTCTCTTGTTCTGGTTCCAGTCTGCGAATTTCTTTAATATGCAGACATGTTTAACCAATTTGTCCCAGTCTGAGTAACGATAGTCTTGAATGAACTTTAGTTCTTCTTGGTCGGTGTAATGAACCAGTACTGTATTTTTTATTTCCTCTAATGTGTTTCTTTCAAATTTAGAGGTTGGCCATATTGAGTTCCAAAGGAACTCCGGGCCCTTAAACCAGATAGAATTTGTCTTAGCCTGCTTGGTTCCTTCGTCAGCAGGGTTGTCCGCAGTCGGCACATAGTGCCATTGGTCCATGGTTGTAATTTCTAGTATCTCGCCAACTCGGTGAGCCACGAATTGCGAGTACTTACGATGATCCGAATATATCCAAGACAATACGGTTTGGGAGTCAGACCAAAACGATGTCTTAATTGGCTGCTTTCGCAACTCTTGTTGTATGGTTTTTGTTAACCTTGCTCCTAGGACTGCTGCTTGCAGCTCTAGCCTAGGTATTGATAGTTTGCGAATAGGTGCTACCCTAGCCTTGGCGACTAATAATCTAACACTCGCAGTCTGTCCAAGGCTATTTAGTCCTCTGACATAGATGGTAGCTGCAAATGCATATTCTGATGCATCAACGAACGTATGCAATTCGAACTGCTTTGCGTGTTGACTGAAAATCCACCTTGGGATTTTCATATTGGTGACCTGCTTCAACATTTCGATCCACTGTTCCCATTGTTTGAACAAATGGTTCGAAATTTCATAATCCCAGAAGGATGTTTCTTTATGCAGCTCTTGCATTAGTATTTTACCGTGTATGGTAAGATTTGAAATCAACCCCATTGGGTCATAAATACTCATGACGAATGACAGGATTTCGCGTTTAGTAGGTCTTCGTATACCTTTCTTAACGTCTTCGTGCATTCGATCAAATTTTAATTGGTAGCCTATGTAGTCAAAGGCGGTGTTCCAATATACACCCAGCACCTTTTCGTGGGTTGATTCCTTGTCCTCAAATGTTTTAACATTACTTGCTTGAACTCTGTCTTTGGGAAGTGCAGCTAATATCGACTTGTCATTTGAGACAAAATTTCTTATAAAGAAACTTGCCTTATTGTGTATTTCGATTACATCTTTTATTATTTTTATAGCCTCTTCGGAGGAGTCGAAGCTATCAATGTAATCATCAACGTAGTGTTGCTTGACTACCGCTTCAGCTGCCTCTGGCTTTGTTTCGCTGAATAAGCCGGCGTTGTAATTTTTTACAACTTGGGCGCACGCTGGAGAGCATGTGGCGCCGAATATCATAACTTGCATTACGTATACATCCGGCTTACGATCTTCCTGACAGTCGCGGAAAAGAAAGCATTGCTTTTTCTGATCCTGCTTGATTATGCCTACTTGGCTAAACATTTCTTTAATATCGCCCGCTGACGCAAACCGACCTTCACGAAAACGCGTTGTCATCCCAAATGACGATGTCGTTGCGTCAGGTCCAGATAGCAAGGCAGAATTTAAGGAAACTCCCTTTACCTCTGCTGCTGCGTCAAATACCAATCGTGGTTTCGGGGGCGACTTATTTTTATTGACCACAACGAAGTGGGGAAGGAAGTAAACATCCTTTGCCCATTCCCTTACTTCCTCTGTGCTTAATTTTCGGGCATATCCTTTAACAACATAATCTTTTATTGTATCGATAACCCATTCTTTTAATTGGGAGTCTTTCTTTAGCTTTGCCTCCAAGTTCAATAACCTTTTATAGGCTTGATTATAACTATCGGGAAACTGATAGTCATCTTCCTTCCACAACAAGCCGATCTCGTATCTCTCGCCTGTGTAGTTTAGAGTTTTCTCTATCAGTTCCTTTGCTCTGATATCTTGCTTGGACTCTGGCAAGCTCTCAATAACCTTTACACCAAAGTCCTCTGTTGTGAAATATCTTTGCATCATTTCGTGCATTCTTTCGTCCTCTTGAATCATGCATACATGATTCTCTTGGACAGTATCCGAGATATTTCCAAATATCAACCATCCCAATTCTGTTCTAATGGCAATGGGTTTATTTTTTCCCATTACCCTTTTTTCGATTGGATACAGCAAGTGGCTGTGATTTAAACCAATCAATAGCTTCGGCTGAGCATTCTTATAATCGCTTATTGGTAGGTTCTTCAAATATGGAAAATCTTTTTGTAAGTTTGAGTAGTTGACCGTCTGAACCGGTAAATGCAAATGAGCAGCTGTTCTCACATTCGTAAGGGTAAACTCTTCTCCAGATTTTCCCATTATGCTAAGCTTTACTCGTTTGCTTCCTTTCTCTTCCCTTGACACATTCTGTGTCCATTTGATCCTTAATGGATCTGGAACTCCTTCTAACTGGAGTTCTTCTGCTATCCCTTCATCCAGCAAGGTTAGCGATGATCCGGGATCTAGAAAGGCATATGATTTGATTATACGGTTTCCATTCCTTAACATTACTGGCATGATTTGGTAAAATACTGCCGAGGCCTTTTCCTGATGCAGATTGGATCTTTCTTCCTTTATCTCTGCTTCTTCTACCTTAATTTTTGCCGAATTATTTTGGGGTGGTGGATTTGGCTGTTTAGGGTAGAATTCCCTTTTTGAAAAATGCAACAGCTTATTATGTCTCCCGTTGCAATTGCCTTGGTCGCATCGCAACGGAGTCCAGCATGTCCCCCTGTGTTTATTAAGACACATGACACATGCCTTATATTTAAAAATTTGATTGGCTCGCTCTTTGGGAGTCATGTTCAAAAATTGCCTGCAGTCCTTGATCCTGTGTTCTTTATTACACAAGAAACATTTACCGCCGCTGGTCTCTTGATGAACGTTTACTCTGTTTCGACGTTCTCCTTGAGACCTTGTTTGGCTGTACAAATCTCGTTGAACATCGGCCTTGGGCTTAATCCAATTGTACAGATCCTGTAACGTGGGCATAATATTGCCCTTTTGCACGTTACTTTCAACGACCTCCATCCATTTTATTTGAAGATCGTGTGGTAATTTATGAATTACCTCCTCCACTAAACGTGGATCACGTAAATATTCATTTTGGTTAGAGGCTACTAAATGGGCCACTAACCCTTCCAGGGCATTTGCCACTTCCACGATTGCTAAGTGACCCCCGGCCCTTACCTTCTCCAAATCCTCGCGAAGTTCGCGATAGACCCTTTTCGATTGACCAAATTGTTTCTCCAATCGTTCCAATATACGTGGAACATTAGATTGGTCCAACATTAGCGGCTGCACACTTTTGGCAGCCTGGCCTCCTAATGCTTTCTGCAAACGCATTAAATTTTCTAAGCTGGAGTATTTTCCTTGCTCAGTGGTGGCCTCAAACGTTTTTTTGAATGTGGGCCAATCCTTGGCGTTTCCAAAGAATTGTGGAAGGCTCATTTCTTGCCTTCTCATATATAGAGTAAATGCGTCACCTTCTTCAATTTCTTCTCCGGTCTTTTCCTTGCTTACTTTTACTTCTGTCTTTAATTTGTTTTTCTGGATAACATGGGCAATGTCAAGCAAAACATCTCGCTTGCTTTTGTCCTCGTGATTTTTGTTATCCAGTTGCTCTTTGTAATGAGCAAGTTCCGCAGCCATTGAGCTTGCGTGAACTTCTGCAGACTTTTGTGCCTTAGCACGAGCTTCTAATTCCACCAGTATTTCAGCCAGTTTCTGGTTGATGGATTGCATTTGGAGTGCCTTTTCTTGACACTCTTTTTCTTCTAAGTTACATTTTGCACAAGTCCAAGGATCTTTCGCCTTTGGCAGACTTGGCAGGTTCACACAACCATAGTGGAACCATCGATCGCATTTATCGCATGCGACCATATCCTGGGCTTCATCTTTCTGGGTACATAGACGACAATGTCCAAGGACATTGTTGACGAATGTGTAACCGGAAGCCATTTTAACTTCTTTTGTTATCGTTTATTAAATGTTTTTCGGATTTATTAACCACGGACACTCTGAAACCCTTTCTTTCAGTTATTTCGGATTTACAGACACTTTAAACTTTCTTTCTGTATTTTTCGGAATATTTCCTACGAAATTTCTTCTGGTTCGATCTTTTTTCTCTCGCACAAGAGTGCTTCGTTGCACACGTGGGTGCTGATTTATTTGGCGCACAAGAGTGCCTTTTGTCGCACACGTGGGTGCTTGCTTTATTTGGCGCACAAGAGTGCTTGCACACGTATGTGCTTATTTATTTGGCGCACAAGAGTGCTTATTTATTTGGCGCACAAGAGTGCTTGCACACGTAGGTGCTTATTTATTTGGCGCACAAGAGTGCTTGCACACGTAGGTGCTTATTTATTTGGCGCACAAGAGTGCTTGCACACGTAGGTGCTTATTTATTTGGCGCACAAGAGTGCTTATTTATTTGGCGCACAAGAGTGCTTGCACACGTAGGTGCTTATTTATTTGGCGCACAAGAGTGCTTGCACACGTAGGTGCTTATTTATTTGGCGCACAAGAGTGCTTGCACACGTAGGTGCTTATTTATTTGGCGCACAAGAGTGCTTTATTTGTGGGCGCACACGTAGTGCATAACTTTGGCCCTGCACAAAGTACTATCGTGGCACACGTGGGTGCCTAATTAATTAAATGTGGGCGCACTCATTGGTGCATAACTCTGGCCCTGTACAAAGTGCTACCTGCACAAAGTACTATCGTAGCACACGTGGGTGCTTAATTAATTAAATGTGGGCGCACACATTGGTGCATAACTCTGGCCCTGTACTAAGTGCTATTTTTTGCACACGTGGGTGCTTGATTTAATAAATGTGGGCGCACTCGTGGTGCATAACTTTGGCCCTGCACAAAGTGCTACTTTTGCACACGTGGGTGCTTGATTTAATAAATGTGGGCGCACTCGTGGTGCATAACTTTGGCCCTGCACAAAGTGCTACTTTTGCACACGTGGGTGCTTGATTTAATAAATGTGGGCGCACTCGTGGTGCATAACTTTGGCCCTGCACAAAGTGCTACTTTTGCACACGTGGGTGCTTGATTTAATAAATGTGGGCGCACTCGTGGTGCATAACTTTGGCCCTGCACAAAGTGCTACTTTTGCACACGTGGGTGCTTGATTTAATAAATGTGGGCGCACTCGTGGTGCATAACTTTGGCCCTGCACAAAGTGCTACTTTTGCACACGTGGGTGCTTGATTTAATAAATGTGGGCGCACTCGTGGTGCATAACTTTGGCCCTGCACAAAGTGCTACTTTTGCACACGTGGGTGCTTGATTTATAAATTGATGCTCAAAGGAGCTTACACAGTTCTCGTTCGTTCGGATCTGCAGCACCAAAGTGCTTGTTCACTATGATTCACTTAATAACTTGTTAAGAAAAATCTTAATTGGGACTTACCTGATACCCTTGCCTTGGGTATTCGTTTTACACTTTCTTATATATTTTTTTCTTTTTTAAACTAACAGTTTACTGAAACTGTTTTCTTTTGGCCTGTTCGAACCTTGCACTTGGCCTTTTGTTTATTTCTACGCACTTAGATATAGCTTGACTATATCTTTCTTCTTTAGCTGTACCCTTCCAAAGGGTCACTTTGAAGTCCCTGGTTTCACTAATCTCGCCTGCTGGAAGAGGCGTTTTAATCCAGGCTTGGTAGGCCTTGGAAGATTTTACTTTACTGACCTGACGGTCGATTTCACTGAAGCGTTCGGCAAGATAATTAATTTCTTGCATTAAGTCCTTCATGAGGACTTGCTTCAATTTTCAATTATACTCTTTTAAATTAACTTCTTCACTCTGGTCTTTTGGCGCCAGTACACCTTTTTTCGAGTTCACTTTTTTAAACTTTCACTGTAGAGGAAGTTTCCTCTCTGGAGCCACCATGTTGCTCACGGGATCGTATTGGGATTGGGTTTTTGTTTTGGTCAGGAGTTGGGATACTAGGTTGATGTTTCGCACCCGTGAGGGTCTTTTGGTTCCCGTTGCGAGAATCGTTTAGGGTTACGATTCAAACGGTTGCCAAGCCGATGCGAAGGTAATCGGCTCACGTGTGCTAGGATGGGGAGGTTTTGTGAGCAGAGTTTTCCTTCTTCAAGGATTCGTGAAGATTCAAGTTAACCAGATCTCTTCAATCCAGACTGCTGGCTAGTTGCCACAATCTGTAATTGATTCCAATTGGTTGGGTTCCACCTAAAGAGAGTCCGGTATCACTTGCCAAATTTAGTTGGTGGCGAGTAAGGGGCTTCCGGATACAATCTTTCGGCTGGATTGCTAACCAATTCAGACTCAAGACCTGATATAACTTACCGATTGGGTTTCGGATGAGTGAGCTGCATGAACGAATAGTCAAATAACACACACACTGATTTTATTTCTTAAAAAGTTCCGCTTATATAGCGGGTCGGGGCCCTAGAATTTGGGCGTTGGTACATTGTGCGCATGTGCGCTTTGCTGCTATGCAAGGGTCTAATTCACCTACGCTCAAGTCCCTACGTACAAGTCCTATGGCCTTCAATGCATCGCCTAAGTGACGATATGGTTTTATTGCGTCCCGAATTTTATTACCTTTCTTCTATTTTCGGGAGCCGGGCGATGCGTATGATCATCCCGCGCTACAATTCTCAAACAATTTACTTCTTAAAGTAAACGCGGGCCTTACCTCTTGCAGGTAATTTACTGAACCTTCCCTAACATCTTCTAGCTGGTTCTATAAATGCACCCTTGCTTATTTAAGTATTGTTCTTCTAATACTCGACCGTACCACCGCGTATCGAATCTTTTACGACCTTTTTATGGGCTAGCGTTCTATCGTTCTATCCTCATTTCCCTATCGAGCAGATGCCCTTCGCTCTGCGCACGGTTCAAGTGCACGCCTAGTGCGCTGCATGCTATGATGCCCCTTTTAAACGGAGAAGCGGCAGAGAAAGTAAAAGTCTATTCTTATCGGTAGGCATTCGTACTGTGCGTACGGTTGCCTTACTAGGCATGGGCTTGCGGCTTTGCTTGCCGGCGCAAGGCTGAGCAGTACACGTGTGTATCTATGCCGTCCTTTGGCTTGTGCTACCTCGGTCGTAAACATGGATTGACTTTCGTCACCATGCGCCGTTTATTTGGGTGCAGTACCAGCAGGACCTCTTCCGAGCAGCGGCTTGTCTTTGTTTTTCTTTTCTCTTTTGCCCTTTTTTATAAATAATAATTTCCTACCGAAATACTTTCGCTTTCCCTTGCCACTCTCATAAGGTGAATGACCTGGCAGAGGGAGCCGTCCTCTCGATTAGGGAATTTCTAATAATTACAATGTCGCGTTCGCAACAGTGCGTCACAATCAGCGATTTTACGACTCGTGAGTGCTCACTCTGAGTGAATGCTCACGAATCGTAAGATCGCTTATTGTGACGCTCTGAAAGCAAAATTGACAGGTTTTATGAGTCAAACACATTCTTTAAACCCTCTTCTCGTTACTTACAAGTACAACATATAATTTTATCATCTAATGATTGCATAATTCCAAAAAATATGTTTTTATAGCAAGTGAGTGGAAGCAACCCTGGTTCTGTTTTTGTTTTAATAATACTTTTTTTTAATTCATTAAGACCTCCAAAGGTCAGATGAATTATTGAAACAATGAAGAAATTAATAAATAAATAAATAAAGAAATAAAGAAATAAATAACTAAATAAATAAATACAAAGGCTTCTATAGATGCAGGGCTTACTGCTCTCCACTGTGTGCAACTTGCTACGAAAAGAGCATTTCAGTATCTCACCCGGCGCAGTTTGCTACAGTGGCTGGTCCTTCTTACTTTTTTGCCATTCACATAAAGTATGATAGTGGCTTAAATACCACCCATTGTAGCATGGAACTAAGTCCGACAGCAGTGGGCTCTCTTCATTGTTTGTCTTGATCAAGCTTAATAACCTCTGATTGTCCTCAACATGTCGCTGTATGTAGGGCCAAAAACGAATTGGGTAGATCGATAGGCAAAGTCGCCTATACGCATCTATGGAACAATAAAGAATCTCCTTCTAGCAACTTGATCAGTCAATTGGTCCAAAAGACAAGCCCCTAAAACAGGAAGATGCCCCAATGAGTGGGGAGAAGAGCTCGCCCTTTATCCACGAAATGTTATCAACAGGAAGTTGGCATTCCCACTCTTC